AGTTTTGTATACTATTTTAAATCTAGGTAGTCTGTGATACAATATTTCTCTTTTCTTAAGGATTGTTTCAGAGGAAAGGTTAATAAGTAGAAAATAAAGCTCCGGAGTAACAAATTAAGCATTAATTAGCACAGTAGTGTTGTTTGAAAAGTGAGAAATAATACCTAGCTGTATATAGAGAAACATACAACACCAGGAAGTTTGCCATTAGACCCAGGCCCCACTGACTTTTATGAGGACATACTCTTTACTGACTTGATCTTCAATGTGAATTTTAGATTCTATATGGACAACATGAAAAGTAAACAAGAGTATAGACATATACCTAACTAAGAAACTGGTCATATTCCTCAAAGGATTGTTTTTTGCTTTTTTTGTTTTCATTCATCACTGTTGGCCTTTATCATCCCTGCTTATAGCTCCAGCAAGGCAAAGACTTATGTTCTCATGAAGTAAATTACTTGAGAATTACAAGTGAAGTGTGGATACAGAATAATCGGTGTACATAACAAGAGAACCTTTCTTTTTTATCATTTCTTTTAAAAATTTTTTTCTCATTGAGTTTATTGGTACTTTTTAAGTGTACAGTATGCAAGAGAACCTTTCTAATACAGCCATGTCAGGATAACTAAGCTGGTTCATATTGAGAGCATCATTATTGGCAAGGACAGTGATGTGTCTCAGTATTATCCATGTGTGTCTAGTGTGGCAAACACATCATTAAATCAGTTGTTTTTCCAATAATATGCAATATGACAATTTTTAAGTGTTTGATAATACAACACAATTAAAAAGATACTAGGTTCCCAGTAATTACAGAGATCATTTTTATAACCCAGGAACCCAAAAACCATTGAAAAGCACTAGTTTATTAATTGTTTCTTTGTAAACATGGAATTTATAAATTCAGAAATTTCCCATCTACAGTGGTTTTTACTTGCATTCCACATTTATATGGTAATACAACACACAGTGTTAACACACTGTGAATGTGGGAATAGGATGGTTAGCATTACAACTTATGATATTAGCAAAGGCAAATCTATCTAATGTAACAATCTTATTTCATCTAAATGCTAGATACCTACAAAATTAATAGCCATTTTTCACTTAAGACTTAATGGCTCCAAAGGAACCACTTTGTCGTATAATAAAATATATGAACATTATGAAGTAATTTGCAGAATGCATCAACAGTAATTGTTTTCTGCCATCAAAATAGAGCTTACATGTTGTTTTTTATATGTGCTTGCTATTCTCATAGAAATGCTCTTAAAATGTCATGACACTGTAAAAAAATTTAAATGTCTTTATAAAATCCATATAATCCATGCACCTTTATAAAATATATACACATGTATGTAGGTGTGTGTTATATGTGTATATATTCTTTTCCAAATCTTTCAAAAACATAATTTTATTGATCCAAAGAATACTATGTCTATAAGTAAGTTAGAACATGCTATTTTTCTGCCTAAACCCTTCCAACACTGACAGTATTTCTTTGCTCTTTGAGTACAAACCATATCATCTTCTGTAACACACAAAACTCTAACTTCCATTCCCACCCTGTTCCATCTCAGACTTTAGCCTTTCTATAACTGAAAGATTTTAAAAATATGGATTTGCATTCCCTCTTTCTGGAAAGCTTTCCCCCAACATTCATATGGCTTACTGGACCACTATTTTGCTCATTCAAATTTTACCTGTTTGGTGAGGTTTTTTTAAATTTTCCTCTGTATTTAAAGGTACAGTCTCCATAAATAGGGCCTATCTTCTCTTCCTAAATTTAGTTTTTCTCCTTGCTATTATCAGTTGTTTATTATATACAGTTTTGCTTGTTATGTTTCCCCCCACTAGGATGCCAGAATGTAAATTCTGAATATGTTTGAATGCTTTCCACTGTGATCTTTCCTGTTTCATAGATCTGTTTATCATATAGAGGTGACCAATAATATTTATTGAATGGGATGAAGAAGATGGCATCCTAAGCTCTGATCCTGAAATGTGGAAAAGGTGGAGACAGATTGAGGCCAAGAGGTCACTCGGCCCAAAATGCTAAAAGCCCATGAATTTTTTTGTTTGTTTGTTTGTTTTTGGTACCAGGGATCGAACTCAGAACCTTGCACCTGTGAAGTAGGCAGTGGAACCACTGAGCTAAATCCCTGGCCAAGAAGCTCACCAATCTTGACAAAACAATTAATGAATTCAAAGTCACTGAAGTTATCTAGAATGGATACCATCAATGGATAATCACTATTTTATTTTTTTGCTTGCTTAAATTAATGTTAGCTGATAGACTTTGGATCTTAAATATGTTCAAGTCCTATCTGTAATACACTTGATCCCCAGCCCATGCTTTGTTCTAGTGGGAAGTGATAGAAACTTTAAATACTGGGACCTAGCAGGAGATTTTCAGTCATTGAGGCTGCACCCTTGAAGAGGATAGTCAATTCCTCATTCTCTCTGTCTCTCTCTCATCCAGGCTATAGAGTGAGCAGCTTTTCCCTTGGATGTGCTCCTACCATAGGACCACATCAACCCAGTCAATTTATTATGGACTGAAAAACCACACAAATGGGAGCCAAAATAAACCTTTTATCTACAAGTTAATGACCTGAAGTGTCTGCTGTAGTAACAGAAAGCTGTGAATACATTAGCCTTTAAAAATATTATTTTGAGTATATTAGAAAGAGATTCATGAGTCTTTAAAGCAGTTGGGTTGCAATGCTAGACCATCATGGGTTAAATTTTTAAAAAGAGTTCTGGGTACTGCTAGAAAACAAGACTCTGGATAGATTTGTTTAAAAAGGGAATGGAAAGAAAAAGGCTAAAGGTGTAGGGAAAGTGGGAAGGGTAGGAGAAAGATAATAAGGGAAAGAAAAAATAGGAGAAAATGAAAAAATGGAAATAAAAAGTCTGTAAATGGAGAGGGGAGGAGGTGAAGGGAGGGCAGGGACAGGGGGAAAAAATGAGAACCAAGACCTGTCATGTAAAGGTACAAGATCCCAATAATGAATGTAACTGTACTGTATACCAAACACGTACCAATAAACTCAATGAGGAATAAATAAATAAATAACAAATAAAAAGGGAATGGAGTTACGTCAGACATGTGAGAGTTCCCTGCCAGAGGCTTCTTGTAACTGAAAAGAGATAGAACTTACTTAACTTAATTAGTAGACCTTTAATTAAGTGAAGGTAAATCTTCAGGTTGAGATATAAATTACAGTTTGTTGAAGTCAAGTCAGAAAGAGACAGACTCACTAAAATAGATAGGAGCCCCTTTGCCATGCCAGAAGAACTGAAGGAAGCCATTTGCAAACAGACTGAAATAATTGCCCCATAGAAAACACATTCTGATGGGGACAACATAACCTGGCTTGTATTGTCTGACTCCAGAAGAGCAATCAGGAGGTGATTAGAATAGAGAAGTGCCCCATCACAGTGGCAAGGACATCAGAGCTTAGAGGATGAAGGGACTTGTCCGAGTCTCCCATCCCTTCCTCTTTTTTCCACCTTCCTTTGTAATTGAGAAGTTGAAAAAAAAATGAGATTGATCTACAGTTTCGTACAACATAGAGTTTGTGGATTCCTTCCCCTTGGCACCATTTGATAAGTTCCCATCTCCTGCATGCTTCCTGGAAACCAGTAGTTGCATCTCTAAGCTTGATTTATGTTGACATTTCTGTAAAATGTGCAATGTCAGCTGTGTCCTCCCATCTAGGACACCTCATCTCTAACTTCTCTTTTGATTATAGTGGCCACCATTATTAATCATTGCTTACATCCTACTAAATTAGAGGTTATGAGATAATGGGACTTTCATTCTATCATTTGTGAGTTGAAGTATTTCCACAGAGTATTTATTTGTTACAGTTCACAAAGAAAGGATAGGCTGAATGCTTCCTGTGCCTGTATTTACCAGTATTCAAAACAGTTTCGTTGTCCAGGATCTCTCAAATTTGAATTTGTTTTTTAGTTTAATAAACTATGACCATAAATGTACTTGATGTGTTTTAATCCATTGCCGGAAATTCTTATTGCTGTCAAAGTTGTTTCTTCTTTGGCTTGGAGATTTTTGAACAGCTTCAGTCTCCAGTAGCTTGTTTGCTTCCAGAGCGCTATTTTTCCAACTCCTCTTTCATTGTATACATTTCCAGCTCTGGAACTGTGTTCTTCCTAAAGTCTTAGTTTTCCACTTAATGGAAAAAGGTATTTAGTGATGGCAATATGGTACTAAGCATTAGAGCTTTTCTGAATCTTTTTCAGGTACAGAGTTAAATGTATGTCTACATTTTAAACTATAACATCTTAGGTTCATAGTGATGCTTCTAATTAAAATTAATATTTATATCAAATATTCATTTAACCTTATCTAGCTTATATATGCTTCTCTTTTTCTCATAATGAAACGTTTGGGGCCCAAAACACCAAGATAATTATTCATTTGCTTTGTCTCCCCATGTATAGCATATTTCAATAACAAATAATGTAACATCGAATTTTGTCTGAAGGGTCAGGATGGAAAGAACAGGTGTTGACAAGATGAGGATGTACATTCTGAGTAGAACAAACAGCGTGTAGGAAGACCCAGTGCCTTGAGGAGGTGTAGTTCACGTAGGAAAGAGCGAATCCTATTTCTCTGGAGAACTGACGGGTCATAAAGTCAGGATAGAATCATAACATATTTGATCTCATATTCAATCTGCAGACATGAGAACACCGACCAGATATACAAGTTCTTTTTGCTTCATGTTCAGGAGGTATCCTACATTTATTTTTAATAAAAACATTGCTTTCTACTTTGTCTTTCTAAGCCTTAGAACCCAAGTATATGAAAAGGGAAAAGATTACTTTAAGAATTTCTATCCTTAACTCTGTTCTACCCCAGTCCAGTGAAAATACCATTGAAAGTACAGCTCAATTATTTCCTGATATTGGAAGAAACATTTGCATACTAATGAGCCATTTGTCGTGTTTGTTTTTTCTGCCCACAGAGGACAAAGTGTGGACCATTGTGTCCCATGACTTACAGACACCAATGACTGTGATAGGCTACACCCCAGAAAAATACTCTGTGACCCAGCTTGTCTACAGCGCCTCTATGGACCAGATCAGCGCCATCACCAGCAGCGCTGAGTACTGTGAGCAGTACGTCTCCTATTTCTGCAAGATGTCCAGGCTGTTGAACACCCCAGGTAGGCTGCCAATGGAATGTTACTTTTAATTACTATCTCAGCTGGTGTTTGGAATGGACTAAACAATCCAACAGGTGTAGTTTATTATCTTAAAAATCCCGCCTTCTATGTACAGACAGCTATAAAGAAGCAACATATAATCACTTTGGCTTGCTTTCTGGAGAATGGAGCTAAGAATGCATGATTTTTAAAGAAATTTCATTATTTTTGGTTTCTGGATTTTTCTAGAGTGTATGTGTATTCATGTGTGTATGTTGCAGTGTTCGCGTTTCTGTGCAAAACTGCTTGAGGTTGTTTAAAATTCAGAGATACCAAAGAATATATCAGAACTAACTTTATCACAAGAAAGATCCATGTGCTCAGGGGGTCCTGGCACTAAACTCAAGATGAAGACTTAAAACTACATTATTTGGTCAATAACACAGAAGCAAGCATGTGCTCTGAATCAAGAAAATAGGGCTTTATAATTTATAGTCTTGCTATTTCCCAGGTATGGACATTGGGAAAGTTAATTGAATTCTTTTTTTAAAATACTATTCATCTTAATTGATAAATAACATATTTCTCATGTGTATCATGTTTTGAAATATATGTGTGCTTATATTTATATACTATTGGATGACTAAAGCAAACTAATTAGCATATATATTATTTATCTTTTTGTGATAAGAGTGCTGTAACTCTACCTCCTTAGCAATTTTCAAGAATACAATACAGTTTTGCTAACCAAGCCACCATGTTGTACATATAAGAGATCTCTTTATATGAAGTCTCAATTTCCAGTGTTTTCTGCTTTTCAAAAAGAGATCATGGTGGCTCTTTCAGGAGGACTGTGAGAATTTAATGGAGTAATATATTAAGCACTTTAGGGTCTCATACATTTAAAGACATAAGTAGGAAACTGATTTTTGAAGACTGTTAAGCAACTTTACAAATGCTATTGCACTGTGTCAGAAACAAATGGGCTGTTTGATGCCCAAAATGAATACTGAATTGGAATCAGTATTTTTGGGTGGGGTGGTGGCTTACAGAAATAAAACAATAAATAATATTGTGAAGTATTTGTTGCTTTCTGCGTGCAAAATCTTGTATTGTAATTACAGTCAGCTTAGCCTAAGGACTCTAAGAAAGTAAAATATGGAAATTCTTGGTTCCTAAATGAGTGCTTCTGTTGTTTGGGAAAAGAAATGATTGTGCCTGGGATGTTGGGGTAATGTCTCATTCATGAGGTAGAAAGACAGATTCAGGTTAGTGACAGAAAATGAGCAATGGTCTAGAAGACAAGATGAATCATAGAAATGATCCTTCAGGTCCCAGTGAAAGTTAGCCCCAGACATAGGAGGAAATTCATGTGAAAGTGCAGGAAGAAATATGGCAGAGGCATAGACACAGAGGAAAGTAAATGCTGCAGTGAGAGCTGCTCTATCCTGGAGGCCAGTGCTTCTCAGAACTTCATGTGCATCAGAACAAGCTGCAAAAATTAAAAAGCAAAACAAAAAAAAACAAGCACACACACACACACACACACACACA